TCATAGAATGCATATAATACATAAAATAACGTACATATATGTATTTTCCTTTGATTGCTTGTACAAAAATCATAGTAACTTTGTTCTTTAACATCTAGCGAGTGTTCCCTCATGTCTGTCGCATAGATATATTTCCAAGTGAAGTTCCTATATCTCATCTTGGAGAAGGAAACAACCTTGATGTGGAAGAGCACTTTTTTTTAGAACGAAAGTGCTATGTTGGAAGCAATGTGTTAACATCTGGGTGTGGGATGCGTAAGGAAAAACCCTCGTGACCATCATAAAAGGGTTAACAATAATCATTAAACATATACGATTCGTTTCGTATGTATAATGAAGAAAATAACATCTTTGCGAGATTGTGTAAACTCATAATACCGTCTCGTACATTCGTAGCAATTTGCATTGGTTTTAGTATCCAATGCCAACAAGCTGCAACTATGAAACAAAACATGCTTTCTCAATAGACAAAAACATACTTTGGTTCGAATACATGTCAGAAAAATATTTTGTAATCCATGCAGCTTGTTCATAATGTTGGCACACCTCCAACAATCCGTGCAGAAACTATTAAAAAGAAGAAAAAGATGAAAAAAAAAAAGAAAATCAAGAGAACTCGTAAAAATGAAGAAAGTATCGTCAACATTCTATTTATAACAATTTTCAAACTTATTTTCCAAAATCTCATTTTAATAGTATCTGGACGTTAAATATACGTCGATATATACAACGGTATAAACAACAACGGTATCACGGACGAAACTATGTAATTGAAACCACATATTTTGCAAATTGTACATCTTTTCGTATTCGTGAACAATGTAACAAATTTTTTCTGACACATTCAAACGGAATTGGTTTATCTATTGACAAAGAAAAAGAAAAGAAGAATTCATAATACGAATTCTCTTGTGAATGCAAGTTGTACAATATCATATATTTGTTTTCAATGTTTTGTGTACAAATATGTACACTTTAAAATCTTGTAATTCACTGAGCAATAAGTGTCATACATCATGAAACAATTATACGATATTGTTCAAATTGCGTGGAATTAAAAGACAAAAAGAAAAACAAAAAAAAGAAAAAAAAAACCAAAAAAAAAAAGAAAGAAAAGAAATCATAAGAAATCGTATGATCTCTGCATGATCGTATGTGTTGGTCGAATGTTTTTTTGTATCTGAAATTTTTAAGCATTTCTGTAACATGAAAATCCCACCCTGTCTATGTTATTATGTGCGTTCGATAATGTGAAATTGGTCGCATGCGGAAGCAAAATCAAAGAAAAAGCAAAAAAGAAATTATCTGTTATTCCAGGAACATAAAATGTTTTTATTTCTCAATTGTAAAGATAGGTTTGTGCCCGAATTATAAAAAGAACCTTTTTTATTTGTTTTTCATTTGTCCAAAGCACAGACCCGATCTGATGAAAAAGAAAAAAATATACAAAATTGAAACACATGTCAATGAATTTTGTTTTCGAAAAAAACGAAATAGCAAAGAAAATTTGGTCTTTAATAAAATTTCCGGTTCAGTATACCACATATGTACGTTTTCTTTTCAATCTATCCTATTCGAATTAATCATAAAAATAAACAAACCTTCAACAAAAATAAATAAACCTTTGATATTGCAAAAAATATTATATATATGAGCGAGTTTATATACATATATTTCATGCAGATAATTTTCAAGTGTAATCATGTGTAGCTCAAGTGGATAATTTGTTCAATGAATTTAAAAATGTGGCTTAAGCGGATTACAAACAGCTACCAGTATCAGAGCTAATTGTACGAACATTACACGTACCGCTTACATTAATTTTATTGATTGTGATTTTATTGATGTTTTATTTAACTTGCAGTGAAAATTAAGTTTCTTAAATTCATGAAATTGATTTGAATTAAAAAATTGAAAATAGCTAATTTATTTTATATTATTTTATGTAATAACAATCGAAGATTGAATTTTTTTAATGTTGTTGAAAATTATATATTTTTTTAATATATAATCAATCTCAGAATTTTCCACATTTTCAGATCTTATACGAGTATAATGTTTGATTTTTTCTGATTATAATTGCATATAAAAAAAAAAAAAAAAAAAAAAAAAAACACGAATAATGAAACTGTTACGTGATACGAAAATAAAAGTAATTTACACGAAATAAAAGTATAAATTACATAAATTTTTTTATTTTATACGTTGACAAATCCATTGTCGCATTTATTGTATTCCATTTAATATAAAATTTAATAAAAATTCCTTTACAAATTGATTAAACGCAGCTAAAAAAAAAAAAAAAAAAATTATAACTTAATTTCAATTTCATATAATACAAATTAACTTAATTTTAATAATATAACTCAATTCGAGCGAAATTGAACTAAAATTTCAATTCATAAACGATACGTCCGTCGATTTGTTTCGTACGATTGATCAGAAAACATTTAATGATGCTTGCTAACTTCATTTCACCTCCGATCGGTCATGGTTGAACGAAAATAGATGTTGGAAATATAATTCCTAGTTCGGAAACGACAAATATTGATACGATCGTTCAAATACAATTCTGTCCTTGTAATTACACATTCATCTATCCATATAATCGCGAATCTCTGTTACGGATGATCAACACGACAGCGTACACAAGTGTACACAAACGTGTGATCTTTCGATTGCTCTCCGGAGTGATGTATCAGTTATATTATTCTAACCAAAGAATTTTCTATTCTTTGTGTGCATTAGCAAAAGACACGAGATATTACTTATCAGCGATACAACACGACACAAGCTTAATTGTACTTATTCGTCTGATCCAACCAAACGCGTCGTAAATCTACGGAACAATCGTGTTAACGCGCGGTAATACATGCGTGTTCGACTAGCTGGAAGGAAAGAGAGTTGCTTGAAAAATGTGGCGAGCCAGCCAAAACCCGCTGATAGAGTCAGCAGAGCGATTCAACGAATTCCCTCGGCAGAAATCCAATCGTTTGGCCGTCTTCCGGCTCGATGTTCCTTTTTCTGTTGAGGGGCTTCCGGCTTCGATCCGGGAGAGGGTGGTTTTTGCGGAGAATTGACGGAAGGCGAGGAACGGAAGCATAGTTTGGGATAAGAATTATATTATCGGCTCGTTGGTGCGCTCCGAACGAGCGCTATTGATTTTAAGTAATCGCTTAAATAGCGTCAGTGGCCTGTGCAACGGGTTGCCATCGAGTACAAACGACAGAGACGAACGAAACGCCGCGCTAAAACTTGGAACAGACGCGGTATTCTTGTCTCTCCACGGTTTTCGTCCTCCTGTGTTAATTCGCAACTTCTCCCTTCGACTTTCTTTACAATCTCTCTTCCCGATACTTTCATCTCGATCGACGAAGCTATTTTCTATTTGTATATTTGTGTTCGTCGATACTGCACAAACTGATAGACGCGTGAAATGCTCGCGCGAGAACACAAGAAACGGGGAAAGGACTGGGGGTGACGCATAGAAGGGTAGAAGGATATATGGTCGAATTCTGCGAACAACATATGTGTATTGGACAAGCATCGAACGTCTTTAACCGGGAGGGTTCTTTGAAGGTTCGCGTCCATTAAGGGTGCATTACGCGCGGGCGTACGTGCGAGCAGACACGTGCACTTGTCGCTTCGGACGATCAATTAACCCTAAAAGGTCCTTTAGGGAAAATTCGCCGTCTATGTGCATATACGTGTGTATATATACATACGTACATGTGGCACATAGTGGCTGGCGGCGCGTCCTTCGTCATCCTCCTGCGCAATGTCACCTTTAACTCTCGTTGTAGGCAGATTTAGCATCCTCGCCCCGTCCCCCGAACCCTCGACTTCTTTCGAGCGAATCTAACTTTCCTCCATGGAAGGAATACCTCCATTTTCCGTATAATTTCCACGAGAGATGATAGAAAAGGGAAGGAGATCTCGTGAGGTGATCGGTGGTGAGACGGCGCGGGCCGAAAACTTCTCGAGAATGTAAACGCGGACAACGAAGAATCGCGTAGTGAAAGAAAGAAAGGACATGCGAGTGAAAGAATGGAAAGGAAGAAGCCGGGAGGAAAAAAAAAAAAAAAGAAATAGGAGGAAGAATGACTTTTCCAGGGTTCTGTGATCGTAGCCGGAAAACGACGCGAGAGAAAGAGAGAGAGAGAGAGAGAGAGAGAGATGTTGTCTGTGGCGGTAGCCGATAGACGATATCGTAACCACCGTTGCCATTGCCGGCCTTTTCTCTTTCTCTTTCCCTGCTCTACCCGCTACATCCACCTCTCTGGCAAGCCAGCCGTAATCTGGCAGTGCATTTAACCACTTTGTGAAATAGCCGTATATCTCGCTACTGTGACGTAGCATTCGATACGTCGAAAAGGGTGGTCGGGAGAACTGAAGGTGGCACGAGCATGACGAGGGGTGAGATAGATAGACAGAGAGAGACTGAGAGCGAGAGCGAGAGGGGGGGGGTGAAAAGCGGAGGAAAGAAAGGAGAGATGGGTAGAGAAAGAAAGAGGAAGAGACGCATGGGGTAGAAAGCAGGGGGAGTTAGGGGGTGAGGTCAGAAGACTCGGTAGGAAAACGTGGTGGAATAGGTTGGGGAAAGAGGAGCCACCGCGCGGCAGCGAGAGTATCTAGTGGCTAGTAGGTTGTGCGCGCGCCCGCACACCCCGTGTACCCCATTTAGAGGGGTGGAAAGGGTCGGTACAAAGGTGGGGTTACTTGTGTCCAAGAGTAGGGAGTGGAAACGATCCCTACTACTCCGGCTCTGGTCGGTTGGGAAAGCGCACGAGCTGTGTGTCTGGAAATGGTGGGGAAGTGACGGGGTGGTTCTCGGAGGGGGCAGGGTTAGAGGGGTTGGATAGGGGGTTCGAACGGAGCGGGCTCAGGCGAGGGGTAGAAGGATGCTGGTGGATGAAACTGGAGGAGGGGAAAGGCGCCGTAAGGGGTGCTCGGAATCACGGTGGTAGTGTGTACACCCTGTGTATATAGTCTGGCCAGAGTGGAAGAAGGGTGCGCCCTACTTCGCGTCGGCGTTTTCCCTCCTGGCAGTGTGCAACGACGTACCGAAAGAAGAACAGAGAAAGCGAGCAGAGGCTGTCTCTTCGGTTCGGTGCCGGGCTTTTCATAGTCTCTCATTTCACGACGAGCGTCCGTGCCATCGGTTCGAGTGTTTTGCACGTTCGCCGAGTATTAGGAGTGGAAAAAAAGGAAGGAAGGAAAAAAAAAAGAGAAAGATAAAGAGAAAGGAAGGGCAAATCGGCTGGGGAAAACAGAACCGGGGGAACACGAGCCAGCGAAGATCGCCTGGCACGGACAACGCCTCGGGCACAGAGCAGCGCGAGAGAGCCTTCGGTCTGTTTCGCGAGTATAATTTCGTGGTTCGCGTGAGTACGGTTCGTTCAAGGTGGTGGTGCGAAGGTATCGTCGCTCGTCCGGGGGTGTTGTTGTCATTAGTGATATACCCATTAATGGTGAATCGTGGAGTTGATTTTCGTCGGTCTCGCGGGGGAAGTGCACGTTGATCGACGCGTTTACGTAAGAACGACGGACGCTCGTGGTGTATGCTTACTCGTACGTGCTCGTATGTATCTCAATGTGCGCGCGCGCGTGTGACAAGTACCGACAAATACGGGAGGACCAGCCAGGGAAGAAGACAGCGGAGATTTTCGTCGATTCGTGATTTTACCGCAAAATAGTAGTTTCGACTCAGCTTCGACTATCGCGTGATCTTTCGGAGATCAAGGGAAAGAGAACTCGTCATTGTTCGTCGAGCGATCGTCGAGTCGACGAATCAGAAGGATTCACGAATGGACGAGCCGAGATCGTTTAATCCCGACTCTCTCGTTTGCATAATTAGCCGTGCTGTACTGCAACAGCCACACGGGGAGAAGGATTCGCGTAAACGTTGCTACAAAGGCTGAGGTTGTGGTTATTCGACGATACGAGGAGAAATTGACGGTACCGTTGATAGAGGAAACCGAAAAGTGAAGATCGAACGTGGAGGCTCGCTGGGAAAGGGAAATGGAAAAAATGGGCGTAAAATCGTCGACGGAGGATTTTCTCGAGAGAACGAAAATATTTCTCGCTTATTGATGCGTCTGGCGAGGCTGGCGTCCTCGAGCAAGATCGGGGCGGATAGCGTCTATCGAAAGCCAGGACCAGCGTTCGACGATAATAAACGCGTTCGTCATGGAAATCTCGGTATTCTTGTTTTACGTGACGACGTTGCTGGGCATTGTGACCAGCGATAAGTGCGCCGTCGAGTGTTCCTGCAAGTGGAAGAGCGGGAAGCGCACAGTCGAGTGTGTAAATCGTGCCCTGACTAGCATACCGGAGTGGGTCGATCCGGAGACCCAGGTGTTGGACACAAGCGGCAACGACATTCGGATCCTGCCGAGCAACATCTTCGTACGTGTACGCTTGACGAATCTACAGCGTCTCTATCTACGCGAGTGCCGTATCGACCGAATCGATAGCGAGGCACTGGCGGGCCTTACGAATTTGGTAGAGCTCGATCTAAGCCATAACCTCTTAATCGTGGTCCCTACCAACAGTTTTTTAGACACACCGTTCCTCAGAGATCTCGTATTGTCCAACAATCCTCTCAAGAGGATTCACTCGCACGCGTTCAAGAGTACGCCAAATCTGGTGAAGCTGGATCTGTCTCACACGCAACTGGTTGAGATCGAGGCGAAAGGATTTCGAGGCTTGGAGCTGTTGGAAAGTTTAAAGTTAAACAACAATCAATTATCGACCCTACATCCTGGCACGTTCGACCCGTTGAACAAACTCACGAGCATAGAACTTCACGATAACCCGTGGATCTGTGATTGCCATTTACGCGAAATGAAAATGTGGCTGGTGAAGCATAATCTGCCAACCCTTCAAGCACCACTGTGCCACGGTCCAAAGCAATTACTGAATCGAACGTTCACCGACTTGGGCATCGACGACTTCGCCTGCCGACCGATACTTCTGATAGCCAGTCGTTACGCCGAGGCGACGATAGGCGAGAACGCCAGTATCGTTTGTCGGGTTAGCGCGATACCACCGGCCAAGGTGAAATGGTATTGGAACGGACGGTTGCTAACCAACCATTCGGCGTTTAGTAGCTATCAGAAGATCTTGATCTACGAGGAGGGCCAGTTTCGAAAAAGGAGCACCCTAGTACTGACGAACGCCCAGGAAGCGGACTCTAGCGAATTCTACTGCGTGGCAGAGAATCGTGCCGGCAGCGTCGAGGCGAATTTCACTCTTCACGTGTCCTTGAGAACCGCTGGTATGTCCACTCTCGGTTCCGGCCAAATCGCCGGAATATCTGCCGCCCTGGTCGTGCTCATTCTCCTCATACTGCTCATCATTCTCGTGTTGTTCATTCGTTTGCGAAGAATGCCGCTGAAAGACGTGAAATCGGCTGTACCCGCGGAGGGAGTGTCGGCTGATGGCACAGGTGGGAATAACGAGAACCCATCGTCGGCGACGTCGACCACCCGCAGAAAACACGAGGAAATTGAAACGACGTCATTCGGGGTGGAATCGAAGCCACCGGTGTCCTTAAACCTGAGTTACGTTCAAAGACCGCAGGCAGCGGCCTTGCAGACAGAGAACGAGTACGGTTCGATCGGCCGTTTCGACGATCCGAGCCAACAACCATCGGTAATGGTAGCACCGGGTGCTTGTTTCTCTTCGACGACGTCGTTGATGCCGATCGACAATCCCGATCTTATCAGGGACACGCGACGTAGCTCGGCGGAAGACATCACTCCTTACGGCGGAGCGGACTATAGTCGCATGGAAGTGGTGGACGACGCCAAGATCCTTTACTCGAGTTGTATGTGGGAAGCGAGGGATACGTGCAGAACAACGGTCCCAGTGAGCACGTACCCTTCGAAGGAAGCACTGGCTGTAGTGGCGCCTATGGTCGAGCAATTTCCGCCAGGCGCGAAGCAAATAAGAGTCTGGCAGAAGGGAGTTCCGGTTTTGCCACCGGTCTCGGCGTTGAAGCGTGTTCTTGGCTCGACGCGTAGCTCTCCCGACGAGGGCTATCAAGAAGGGACTGGGACCGACGTCTAGGTACCGCTGCTTCATTACTGTGACGCCCGGCACCGTTATCTGGAGCTTCGCAGACGCCACCAGGACGACACCGACTGCTGAAAAAACGTCCTGTCCAGTGCCGGACGAGCGGTAGTGAAAAAAAGGAAAGAAAAATTCTCGATTTTATTTAAAATATCGAACTCCGTCGCGACACTAACGTGATGGAGGCGGACGTCGACCTGTCACGTGGATTGCGTATACATAAAACGTATAATATATATGTATACATATATACATACCACACGCTACACGCTCGTACATACGTATATATATATATATATATATATATATATATATATATATATATATATATATATATATATATATATATATATAGAACGTACATACGTATATATATATATATAGAACGAGAGTGATCGATGAAACTGTTCAAGATGTATGTGGGTATACACGTACATATAGAAGGATGGAAGGCATCGAGAATGGGAAGTCGTTCGGCCGACCCGAGGTGGAAACGAATGTCCACTTGCCGCGAGATTTACGTACAGTGGCCGATGAAATAGTTGAAGGTGTCGTCGTGACTAATGTACGAAACGCAAAATGAAGAATCTGTCGAGGGCTTGATCGATAAAATCGCTATCCTGCCAGCTCTCGAGAAATAACTCCGAGAAACCTTTTCATTTCGAACGTTTTGTGTGTTCGACGTGTAGTATGAGAGAGAATATCCTACTCGATGTTCCAAACACGATCTGGCAAGAACGACGCCGTCGTTTCGATGTTCTTGCAGCACAATGTTGACCGATAATACTTTCTATGTAAACGATAAAACGGTACGTGACAGAAGAGAGAAAGAGAGAGAAAAAAAAAAGAAAAAAGAAAGATCACGAAAAATGGGATACGGAAAACACGACGTTTAAAGATGTGGTTTAAAATATATCGTTTCTCAAGACTACTTAAGACTTCAGATAACGAACACGAGAAGACTGCAGTGCATGTTCCGAAGGATGTGTAGATAGAGACTGATATGCGAGAGAATAATTTCTATTACCGTGTGTGTGTGTGTGTTTGGCTACCGTGTATACTACGCACGTGGATTTTCTAGTCAATTCCGAGGATATAATTAGACGATGTTAGGTGATTCGGATATGGTGCGAGCACGACGACAATACGAGAACGGAGAGAGAGTACGGCCGACGTGCGAACACGCATCACGCATCATGCATCCACGGCATCATGCATCACGGTAACGATGCTCGAAAAATATTCATTTTATTTATCGTCGCGCGCCTAACGATTCGTCGTCGATCACGTGTTGTTTTTCATTTATTGTTGTCATCATCAACGGGTACGTACGAATTACGAATACTCTTTATATTATCGAGGCCTCGAAGGTAAGATCGAGTATCGAATCGATCGGTTAGATTCGGAATAGCTTACGGAAGCGCGACATACGAGGGAGCCGATATTGTCACATCGGATAGTTATTGACGTTCGTGTTCGGAGGACGAAAATTCACGGAAACGATAGAGCGTGAAATATGACGTCGGGCACACCTCTGGATCCGTCGTTGCAATTCTCTCGACGATAAATTGATTTACTTTGCCGTGCGTTAGAAACCGTTCAAAATATATTCGTGTAACGACACACTGCCTCTTTCGATATCGATTCATCGACAAAATTCCCAAGTCCTTAAAAGCGTTAGCACGATAATATCGCGTGCATGTGTATATCAATATCGATACGCCGGTGGAATAATTACAGTGACGCTTCGAACGTCGCAGTGTATAATCGGAGTGTATCTGGTCAAAGATTAACCTCTTGCGCTAGTAGCTGGTTCACGGACCATAACGAGTGACCAAACCGTGTACAACAATTCGCCTTCATTTTTTTGAATTCATCGATATATCATCGGATAGAAATTGCTGAGAAGTAATAAATTTATTATTACGTTTTGCCTGGGTTGTATTTCAATGTACCTAAAACTCAGAAAATATTGCAATTTTCGGTCAAATATTAGCGCGAGAGGTTAACTTTCGACAAACGGGGAAACGACGTGTGAGAAAAACACGGGTCCCAGAATGTATCCGTCGTCCGTTCGATCTCTGTCTGTTTCTTTTTGTATCACCCGGATAGCCAATAGAATCAATTACATAAGACTGTATAGTAAGCACAGGAAGCCCGTAAGCCAATTGCAAGCGAATATAAACTATTGCTCAAACACTGAAACGAGGGGCTTGCGATTGGTTGGCCGGCTCATGCCTCGCGTTAGTGTCTTACGTAAGTGAGTCTGTGTGTGTTGAATCTAGACACTTTGGCGGTAAGCGGTAAGCCAAAACGCCAATTGCGAATATCGGTCAGTTATCAACGTGTGTCTGTGTTTGTGTCCCATGTATGTGTGTGTGTGTGCGTATGTGTGCGTACGTGTGTTTACGCGCGCGTATTTGCCCAACTGGTTCGTACGTGTCTTGAGAGCCTCGTGTCTGAATATACGTACGAACGTATGTGATAACATGATCCAGACAAAATGTCTATACGTGGATATGTGAGTGCACATTGAGTGTGCGTCAGTGTATACGTGTGCCCGCGCGCGACCGAGAGAGATCGAGGGTGAGATAGTGCATGCGGTGCAGTGTTTGCAATTTCTACCGATTGGTTTATCGCCTATCGTACAGGGCCGGCTGCTTTTCTCTGCTCAATGATCCTGGAACCGTTCGACGTATCCGTGACAAAAGGTAAAAAAAAAAAAAACGAGTCAACTAAAAGGAAAAAAAAAAAAAGGAAAAAGCGAAAACAAAAAAACGAAGGGAAATAAAAAATGCCATGCCAGACACACTGACAAGTCCTATTGAATCGTACATTTTACGCGGATCGATAATACGTGGTACAGGCTGGAGAACACGACAGGACACGTTTCTAGTGGTCATTTTATTCGTCGACGACCGAGCCCACCGGGTTTATTGGTTGTTTCCCGGCTGGTATCTTGGCCAAATCACGGTAATCGGCAGTGAAAACACGTGACGACCGAGGCACGGGAACGCTTGTTCAATGAAATTCATTGGAACGATCTTTTTTTTTTTTTTTTCTTCTTTTTTTCCCCTCTGCCGATCGAATTTAACTTTATCCATTACAATTCGTAACGAACGTTTTCGCGTAACGCGTACAGACCGTATTCGGATGGAATTCGAAATTAGGGAAAACTAGAGGATTTGTGTTGCCCTACCGTTTCCGTAACTTGAAATCTGCTTGCACGAACGATTTGCCGCCATTTCCCTCTTGGAAAATATACAGTTAACGTCATGTCCCAGAATAATTTACGCATATCATCGTTTAACCCGTTGCGCTGGCAACTGGTTCGCGGACCATAACGAGCGACCGAACCGTATACGATAATTTGTCGCTTTCTTTTTCTTTTCAACTCGCCGGTATAATGTCACTCGATAGAAATTATTAAGTAGTAATAAACTTATCATTTGTTTTGCCTGGGTTACATTTAAATATACTTAAAACTGAGAAAATGTTGCAATTTCGGGCAAGAAATTCTCGACGTACGTGGCACGTTATTCCAGCGCGAGAGGTTAACACTAGAACTACCAAAAGTGGTCAAAATGACTAATTCATAATTTTTTTAGATATTATATATATGTATATATATTTACAGATGCAAAGTAGTGTATTTTTAGAGGTTGAAATGATTTTTTATAAAATACATGAATAATAGTATTCTATTTTTTTCACTTTAATGTCTCTGATGAAAATTCTATGCTTTAGTTCTTGGTAATTTTAGTGTTAAAGTGAACCGGGAATGATGAGGATTTGGATCGTGAAAATTCATCGTATCGTCACGGCGCGATAATGTTATTCCTCTCACGGTCATTTTTGTTCCTATTAGTGTACTGTAATATCGTTCGGGTTATTAAACGTTTAATTCTGTGTCAATGAAAAGTTGAATGTCTTCTGGCAACGATATATAGAAATGTAAATTATTTCACCGTTTATAGATTCTGCGAGCGAGTCACGCCAATGCGCCATTTAAAGATTGCTCGTCGTCATCGAAAGTAGCTATATTTTCGTTTACTCGTTCTTTTTTTGCGTGTCCACCGATATGAAACGTTATATCTCTTCGTTGTTTCCTGGATGCAAATCGGATCGAAATCGAAAACATTTTTCTCGCATTATATTTTAATAAATATCACTGAGAGACGAAACAAATGAAATATTTCTCAACATTAGGAATACAAGTAACAGGATTAGTATCAAGTTCGCAAAATTATCAATCGTATCATATAATAGCTGTCGAGTGTTATAACATATCAATGAATCGTGTGTCATACGAGTAAAAATATATCTGCATATCGATAGAGTGGAAGTTTTACGATCTTCGATACGAATTTCGTTTTATCGATTTCCATGTTTTTCTTCGTCTAACGAGCCGCTATTTGTGCAATCGGAGATGAATTATTTGTAAAGGTTAACATAATATGAACGGCGAAAACGGTTTTAAATAGACGGATAGAGGAATCGAGTTTAAATGCATATTTCGAAACGCAAACATCACGTGAAAATGGATACGACATGATTGATTAATTTCTCAGCAACAATGACGTAACGAGTTTAGAAAGTCAAGACGAAACGCGATTGCTCCATAATGTGTCCGATAAACGTATATGATGGAAGTAAAGTAATTTCTCACTATCCTTTTCATGTGTTGTAGAGACGATAGACTCAACAGGGATTTTTTTTTTTTAAATGAAATGATATTTTGTCTGTATATTTGCGATTTTCTAGTAGCAGAGATCTCTATCCATCTTTAATGAAGATTATTTTTAAAAAAATGAAATTATATTCTGTTTGAATTCTACGCTAGTGATCGAAATGAATAGACACGAACGAAAAAAGGAGGAAAAGAAAGAATGGTTGAACAGAAGATGTTTGCGTATGAAACAGGCTTACTTGAGGAAATACATTTCGAATTTTTTTCCATTCGTGTATATTTTTCTTCTTTTTTTTTTCTTTTTTTTTTTTTGGGTGGAAGGGAGGGATCGTGGGTACAAATCTCCGAAGCACAATAGCGTGCGGTCACAGCGGTGGCTAATGAACATTCACAATACAACTCTCCTGATGTTACTACCTACAATATTGCGATCCATATCATTTGAGCGCCACAAAAGCTGACAAGCTGGCATGCCTGACAATGAGTCGTAGCGGAAAGATATCGCGGACAATTACTCGAAGCTATATATTCCCCGAGGGGATTAAGGGAGATATTGCCTCTTCATAAGACGGT